CCTGACAATAATAAAAAGGTACTAGCCCTTACTCAGAAGAGAATACTAAAAAAGGCACACAGCTAAATTATTACACTTAACTGTCAGTTGTAAACATCATGGTTTACAGAACAGCTTCCTGGTTTACTTTGACCTATCGTACTCTCGACAGATGTGGGTTCACCGTTTCCTGTACAGATTATAGCCAACACTTCAAGTGAACTCACTTTCATTTTCATCTTTAAATACAGTGGTTTGGATCAGTGGTTCTCAACCTTTTTAGCCCCACAAAGAGGCAATAGATTTACTTTTACTTATCATTATGAAGTGAATGTCTATTCTACAATGTAATGGCTTTAGAATAATGATACCATTAGCATTGAAATCGGTCTCCTATAAGGCCACGCTTAACAATGCAATTCTGTCTTCCTCCAGGCTGTAAGCTCCCTATCACAATATAAGCCCTAGACATGTAAACTGCATCCCTGCCTACCAGAGATCATTTCGCCAAGAGGTAAGACAGAGGAGGCAATAAACAAAAGAGGGAGAGTGATAAGAAAATATGTTTTATTTTCTACTATGCTAGATAAGTATGTAACAAAACCTACATTCTTAAATACTACAGGGTGTTTTACTGCCTTTATCATAGCACTGAGATCTGGGTTTAAGTCCTTCTGGGTTTTTTCAGTTGCTTCTGACGTTGGACAGCAGCTCTTAGCCAGGGCAGTCATGTTGCTTACAATATATGAATAGTAGATCAATCTTCTTGCTCGTATGAAGGTCAGCAGACAGAACATGTTTCAGTTGCGAAACATGGTCCTATCCAACATCTACTTGTAAACTGTCATCCCATTACATTTTTATAACCCACAAGAGGTAAAGCAATCAAGTAATTTCAAAAAGGGAAAAAGCAAAGATTGAAGGAAATTAGAGGAATAATTAGAAGGACATTATGTAGCATAGATATATCTGCTTTGCAGCTATGCGTATTAACGCCATAACTGTATCTTTTAACTGGCAGAGGAGACTAGACCCCCACATTTTAAGCCACTGGTTTAGATAATCTGCTATCTTGTGTACAAACAACAAAGACTGATTGCTTGGCAGATCATTACTAACACTGTTGGATATTTTTGTTTTGGTTTCCTTTGTTCCCAAGATCTTAGTAATTCGTTTTGAGAATCCAGTTCCACCAAAACTGATGGAAATGACACAACAAATATAAGACCAAGTCTGAAAGAAACTATAATTATCCTTTGAAGTCCAGCAATGCCTAAAAGTGGAAACATTGTGTGGAGTCCAACTGAACTAGGACATGTGCATTTCAGGGCTTAAGAAGGTGCCTCAGAGGTATGTGCTACACATCCCCAATATCTTCCAGTCGAGTAGAGAAGGTGAGTGTGTGCATGAGGGCGAGGAACAAAAGCAAATCTTGTGGCCAGTGGGGCCTCTGCTATCAGCGTGTTCCTGTCAACGGTTCGCTGTGTCACACGGCTGCGTCCGTAATGTGAGCATTTGTCAACACTCATTTTGCATATCTGACGACAAAGTTTTGCAGAGGGAGCAGTTTGCAGAGGAAAAGTGATCATGACAGTCAACTTCTTATTACAGACACATGCATTTCCTAACATTTGGACTACCTATGCTGTAACATGTATGATCTCTTCGATTTACACACGGCATCTATTGTACGTCTGTCCGTCCTGGGAGAGGGATCCCTCCTCTGTTGCTCTCCCTGAGGTTTCTCCCATTTTTCCCCTTAAACTGTGGGTTTTCTCTGGAAGTTTTTCCTTGTACGATGTGAGGGTCTAAGGACAGAGGGTGTCGTTTTTCTCATACTGATATTCTGAACAATCTGTGCTGTTGTATTTGCTGTAAAGTGTCTCTACTGTAGGCTATTTTTATTATATGTAGGCCTACAGCACTTTGGCTCGACCAAAAATCGTTTATAAATGTGCTATATAAATAAAACTTGATTTGATTTGATTTGAAAAACTCCGGTGTCAACATTACAATGGATCTGAATGACATTAAGAATAAATTAGACCAGAAATCTAATCTAAAAACACAACTTCAGAGCCTTTTGTCTGGGAGGTTTCTTATATTTGCAGGTGCACTGCTCCTTCACAGGAAGCTAGAGCTACCACATAACAAGAGTGGGGGGGGAGGAGGAGGGCCAACAGAGTGACTGCTTCCTGACAACAACTGCTGATTACACCAATCAGAACAGCACAGTCTGGGTGAAGGCAAGAGTAAAACCAGACCATACACCTCCACACTGCAGTGCCAAGAAACAGCAGGCCTGACTCACTCAAAGCCTACTTAACTCCAACGAAGGGAAGGATCTCACAGAGGTAATGTCAGAGGAGCTGTGGCTGGAAGATGTGCCCAACTCCAGCTGTGGCTAAAAAATTAATGAGCAGCTTTATGAGCTTCTTTATTAATCAAATATTCCAGACTCCATTTTAATCAGCAGATTCGGGAGATTACTGTCCTCCCCTGCTCACAGGAGGGACAGACCTCACACAGGCGTGCACAGGCTTGCACGGCGCAGCTTCATCCTCCTCATCTCTCTACAAAGTCAACCCAGCCTTTCATTTCCCTAAAGTGAATCATCTTAATACAAAAAAAGGTCAAACTGGTCCAAAGGAGCGACATCCAATTAGTGTCAAGTGTGACTAATTATAATCTGACAAACGTGTGAAATGAAGTCAGAAACCCGAGACAGAAGCTAATTATAGCACATTGAAACACTTCATTAAGCACAGTTTATAGCAAGGAGACATTCCACATCAGAATGCTAAAGCGTCTCCGAGATGAAACAGCAGCTTGACAGAAAAGACGCACGCGGAAGCTCGTTGTTGGGACACAAGAGGAGGAAATAGTCCAACGAGGTAATAATGGAAATGTAATTTCCAAAGATATCCCTGCTCTTATGAAAGAAAGATACAAAGATGTGTGATGAGGGAATTAAAAAGGAGCTACAAGGACATAATATTCATTTTAAAATGAACATTAAGCACTTTATTAGAGCTGAGCTGTACAGGTGCCAGAAAAGGGAGGTTGTAAAACTCAAGCCAAGCACTGAATGTAAAGTGCATTAAAAAAAACGTGTATTGTTTTTTTTTTCTTTATGAAGCCACTATCCAGAGCATAATGCAATGAGTGTGCAGGTCGGAGGTTGTCTCGCTAAAGGTCTGTTGACAGGATCCATGGCCTCTGTATTTAGCCTATTCAATTATTAAAAGCTAACTCACATGCAGAAATATCCCCAGCAGAAAATGTCCAATGCAAATAGATATTTTGAAGTGGACAACCGGTTATCAAAAAATAATGATGGATGCTTCCCTTACATGTAGTAACAATGTCACAACAACAATGGCAACAGTGTGGGTGACGTGTGGTCCACTGCTCCTGCTTACAGTCCACGGAGGTGCCAGGGTACCTCTATGGAGGAGCAGATGGTTCTCCTGCTTATGCCCAACACTTCCTCTCTGTCGGAGCATCTCTGACAGATGGGCCCAGGATCCTGGACCAGGCTAATCTCCAGCACTCCTCCAATTAAAGGCACAGTGGAGCTCTACCTCCACAGTCCCGGAGAGCCGTGATGCTGATCGCACATCAATACAGGCTGAACGCTTGGTCACGTCAACAGGGCTGAATGTGCGTGTCAACAAATGCTAAAATATTACTTTGTAAAAATGACAAAAAGCAAGAGGATAATGTGTCTAATTTACAGTAATATGTTAGCCAATGGAATTGAGGAAACAGTAGAAGAACAAAGGGAAAATGGGAGAAAAAGGTGGAGCATTTCTGTGAAGTTGGGTGATAAATACGACCATAGCAAAGGCTATTTGGACACAGAGTGACTAGCTTTTTGTAACGGCCAACTCAAATTGCTGTCACTTTTGTCCATTTCGCCAGCCAGCATGCAAATACAAAATGCCTCCTCCCTTGCTTTACCGGGTCCTGACCACGTCTGCGCTCCGAGGAGCCAAAGTTGACATGTCGACAATTCACACAAAGTATAAACGACTTTCGGAATGTCAGACGATGTTCCCCTGCTATGCCCAACCGAGCACGAAGAAAATCGGCTTTTAATTATTCGGTGCAGAGCAAAGACACGTTGTCGACAGTTTTTAAATAAATGTATTGCCCACGAAAGACGACACTCTCTTGTGTTCAATGCATAGCCGTACGGGGAAAAAGCTCCTCTAGAGCAGACAAAATGTCAGGTAGTCTAACGCACATGTTTGAGACTAAATGTTAAAACCTGGTGTAATAAAAGAACTATACGAGGCTACTTTGCAATGCAAGAAGTACACAGAAATGAATTTGGACAGCTAAATCCGTCATATGCACACGGCTGGAAAACACATGCAGGAACAAACTCTTCGATTGTACAAGTTGGCAACAAAGTAATAAGTCACAATTTCGTGAATGTCTAAATTACTTACGCTTTTAGTGGATTCTGAATGACAGCCGCCATTTTGCTACACTGTAACGCAATATCGGCGTCTTGCAGTTCTGAGGGAAACCTAGGGGAATGAACCAATCAGAGCTCGGGGTGAAATCGTGGACCAATACATCTGCAGCATACGCGGATGGGGCGTGGTTTTATGGGGTAAACTGTCAAAAATATTTTAAAGGGTTTTCCCTTGTATTTAATATTGTACACAAGTGAACAACAGCACTTTTAAAGGGAGAGCATGGATACATATTAAATGCAACTCCCTCATGGCATGCTGACACCATGCAGTGCAAGAGGCACAGAATATGAACATGGAAGCTTGTGTTTAATTATTTATTAAAATATTAATAAATCATGTATCATCATCAATAAGCACCAAGCAAATAATTTCCCTCACTTTATCTGAAGCTGCAGCATTAGAGAGGAGTAGAAGCAAGACTCCTAAATACAAAGGCGTGCACATGATCTATTCCTCCCACATACAGTACAGTAAGTGGTTTGACACGGGGAGATTTAAACACACAAACACACACTAAAGACAAGGAGGCAATTCAAGATTGTGTTTTTGACAGGTGGGAGCTGCTACAACTTTAATCTTAAGCAAATCCTCCATCAGTTTAGTATTCACACATATCATCGCATCAATTTGTTTCCAATCATTTAAAATGTATCAATCACTCCTGCTTCAGTTGTTGTCTCGAGCCAGAAGTGTTGATATCACCCTACTTAATCTAAAACAAAAAAACGAGACATCACAAATTGCAAAGGACATCTGAAGCAAAAGACTGCACAACTTTGCATGGGAATGAGCTCCAGAACAAGTATTCTGACATGATGTATTTCTTATTCTATTATGTGCAATATTTGCATTTCAGAGGAGGGTGTGTGTGTGTGATGCAACATTCAGACAGATATATCTATTTTCAGACAAGGCAGACACATTTTCTCATCAGAACCAAAAAGTTCCACGTTGGAGCAAAGGAAGAATTCACTTTATCTACAAAGCTTACAATCGACAAAGACCCTTTTTTCCCTAATTTTTAACAACAAAATACAAGCAAATGTGTTAAAGGCATCACCTTGTGCTTTGAATGACATCCAAATGTAAAGCTCTCAGTCACTAAATATCGCACCATTTCCACATTCAAGCATACATTTCTCTGTGTAATGCTTGAAAACAATAAAATAAAGACAAAAACAATATAGGGAGAAAAAGTGGTTCGCATACAGTTGCTACAAAGTTTACAAATACCCATACAGTATCTAATGTCAAACGGAAAAATAACATACAAAATATCAATAACGGATGTATAATGACAGAAAAACAAGCTTTGTAGAGCTAAAACTGAAATCAAAATGTGTTGTCAGGAGTCTTTCTCCTGTCAGTCTGGGCCTACGGGGACGTGGAGGCGCAAGTGTAAAACTGTTTTGAAGACCAATTTAGATAGTTTTCAGTCCTGCAAAACAATATCCGTACACCGAAGCAGACCCTAACTGTAAATATTATTAAAACATTTGTTTAAATCAATGTGTCAAGAGAACACATTTGAACATGATATACATACATTTCACAACATATTATGGATACACTAAATTGCCACTTGGGAAAAGACATAGTGAGCTGGATTCAGAGACCATCCTCTGAACAAGTAGAAAGGCCATGGATCTCTCAGGCTGTCATGCATGTTGTCGAGTGTTAATACGTTGTTTTTTTATCTTCAATACATAAATAATTTTCAAAGCTTAAAATGTACACCCCTCTAACATAGTTTTATGTTTTCATACAACCACAAATTACATGATAAAATATAAACATGATACCAGCACAGACACAGTGACCTGAATGATTTTTGGCACACCAGATATCCACAATCTAGACCCACTGTGGGTGATTTCAGCCCAGTTAGGGTACTACAAGATCATCTGGATATCTGGATTTTGGCCATGGTAAGCAACAGCCTATAACAGCTGAAAAAGGCTTAGTGCAAAAACTAAAATGTTGCAATACAGCATGCAATGGAACCTGCAGTTATACCTGCACGGATATCAAATATCTCCTTACCATTACACGTGCGACATCAGAGAAACATTGCTTAATAATAAGTTGCTGGGAACTAAAATCACACCAACCCCACAGGGTTCTCAACTAACTAATATCCTTTAAAATTATATATTTTTTGTAACATTTTCTGATAGTAGAAAAATAGCTCAACAGCCTTGTGTAACGTAAAGTTAGGGACTTGTGTCAATAAGAATCCAAATATTCACTCTGTGAATAAATCAGAGTGGAAATGCAGATTTTGCACTCAGTCAAGTAACTCACATGTTCTGGCTGTTCTACAAAGGCCACAGGAACTCTTGATGCTAAATGTCCTATATAGTTTTATATATATATGCCTAAAAACTTCCTTTCAACAGACGTAAGACGGAACCATTTGATTAACGGAGGTACAGCAGTGACAGACTGCTTGCTGAGTGAGTGAGTGGTTCTCTCCGGTTGTCTGAGGAAGGAAGGCCGTCCCTGTTAAAGTTCTCCAGGTTTCTGGTTGCAGTTGGCACACACACGCACAGGGTGGTCCCAGCCGCGCGAAGGGACCGCCCGGCGCTCGGGGGAGCAGTCGTCACACACTCCTTGGCCACAGGCGCGGCAGTGGTGCTTGGACAGCTTGGCAGTGAAGTCGCGCTGGCAGTTGTGGCAGGACAGGATGTCCTGGTCAGGCACCCAGTAGGCAGGACGGGCAGCATCTTTCACTAGGCCTGGAGGGTCACAAGTAACATAAATACACACACAGTACAGTACACCAGCACGGATCAGGTATAGTATAAGGTAACACTTTACATTTGCAAAACATATGGTTGTAACTTTATATTTCTGAGATTTAACTGCTCGACCTTTTGGGAAATATGCCTATTGGCTTTCTTGCCGAGAAGATCTACACACTGTAAATCTGTTGAGTTTAAGGAGAACTTCACACTAACTAGTTTACGTAATTAAGCAACAGTGAATGTTATCGACATGTCCTGCCAAAAGTGAGGCTGCTGCAAGGAATTATGGGAAGTCCAGTGTCTTTAGCATATAATACATTCAACCAGCTTTTATCATGCCAGTGACTAAGATGCTCCCAGGTCATTTCACTAAGTTAGAAATCTTGCTAACCTTCATAACCAAAAATGACCATTCAACCACAGCCCTGCACTATATCTATTGGTGAAGAGCAGATATGGACAAACTGATGGAAAACACTGCGACACTGTGGAGGATATCAAGTTATCATTGCAGAAAGGAAACTGATATTGCCTATTAGTTATATATTCTTTGTTTTCTCTGTACAAACACTGAAGTTTAAAAGTGGCAAGGTTACATTTTTGGAGGGGGGGTTATTTCCAGGGTATTTTCATGGCAGGTAGCAATAACTTTCTTGAACTTCCACTGGTTGCCTGGCAACTGCTTCCAGCCAAGAAATAATCCGGCTCAAAACCTCCACATAAAATGTGAATTTGTCTCAAAGAAGTCCTTTAAGTTAGAGGCCTTTTTCTAATTTAAATACGGTTGACTGCATTTCTTTAGCTCTTTTTCCATGCTTATTTTTCCTCACTACTGTATGAAGTGCACCACAATTTCAAGTCCTTGGCTGTTTTAGGTGGCAGTATCCATGGAAACATGTAAAAAAGTATTTTGTTGAGGTTGGAGAAGATCTTGCTTTGAGGTTTTTTGGGGTGGAGAAGTTTTCAGCAGGATATCAGGTTAGCACATTTATATTCATATATGCTTTTTACATACTAAGAGAGGTCTACAGTGGGCAGCTTAATACCAATAATAAACTACAACTTGTGTTTCAAATTAAACAAATAGTTTTTCCAAATATGTTCAAGACATGCGCAAAACAACAATCTAGCAGGGGGAAAAAGGGCTATGATTTATGGTATGTGTTTCAGTAAGAACCGTATTTATTCTAACCAACTCTTTGCAATCTCTTCCCATGTATCAAAGCCAGTTTTCCAAATCCAAAACACATTGGATTATATGGACAGAAACGTGTCATGTGAGGTCATAACAACGTCTCAGAGTTACCGAACCAAAGTGCATTCCACACATTGGTGTCGATGAGCAATCTGTATGCATGTCAGGTCAAGAAACCTCATTGCACTTATATAATGAACCTAAAAATGTAGTGAATAAACAGGTTAACTGGTTATTTCTCTCACCTTTGCACTAATGATTAAGACTTATCATTAAACATTAGGTAACAGAACATGGAAGCACTGCACTGACATGTCCTGAGGAGATTGTTAGAGGCAGTTTTAGGTTTAGTAGTGAGCATGTGTGGGTGGAAGTAGTCCATGATTTTTTTTTGTTCATTGGAAAGAATAACAAGGTAGAGACAAATGTCAGTATTTGAATTCCTGCTTAAATTACAGTCACTCAGCCTAATAACTCCAGTTGAAGAAACAGAACACACTAAGCAGGCCCGGGAATCATTCGCCTGAGTTTGGACTGTGAGATGTTGGTAACAGCACAGGCTCTACTACACCCAAGCCATAACAGCATCTATTATTCCTTATTAGGAGTCAGACTCCTGCATATCATCTGTGAGAGTTCAAACTAGAAACAAGACCTCACTGCTTGTCTTTCTTAGTGTAAATAAACACTTTACGCCTCTGCCACCAGAGGGCATTGTGTCCATTCACTCACATCTACTGGGTCATTTTTTCCTGTTACCTAACACTCCTGTTCAGATGTTGTTTTGGACACACTCACCAAGTGGGATGTCAATAGCAGTGACCACGACCCCAAAGGTGTTGGTGACCGCTTCTCCAACCTTCCTGGCCAGAGTTCCACCTTCTTCCTCCTCCTGCTCTTTCTCAAGCATCTCTGGATAAAGAAAATATATTTCACCCAAATGCCACACAAAAGAGGAAAAACTAAAAACATTTGACATTATCGAGAGTGTGTGTGTGTGTACCTGCGTATGAAGCCCTCTGCTCAAAGCAAACGTCACAGACTCTGACGGGGGCGAGACCCCAGCCTCTCTCAGGGACGGGGGCAGCTTTGGCAGAGCAGCCGTCACAGAAGCCCTCCCCACAGGCACGGCAGTGATGCTTGGTGTCGTTGTCGTGGAAGACTATTTGACACTTATGGCACACCTCGTATTGGGAAAAAATACAAAAACAACAGAAGCTGTTATTGACCAACGGCTCGTGGAAAGACGACACAATCTTTTTTTATCTTAGTGTTATCTTATGACCAGCATAAACATATATTGTGTAATAGTCACAGAGCGCCACAGACAGTAAACATAGCTCTGGAGAGGAAAGTGTTGACTTGGCTGTTGGTGGTGGCCAGCAGAGGGTGGGGCTGTGTGTGTCACTCACCAAGATGAGGGAGTTGGGTTTCCAGTAGGCTGGGGCGATCTGATCCGTCAGCCAGGAGGTGACGGCCTTGGCAGGCTTCACACTGAGCTCTGACACAGACTGGGCCACTAGGTTGACTCCATCCAGAAGACGCTGCGCTGCATTGCTGTTGTCCTTTAAAAAGCCATCCGACTGCAAAAAGCAGACAATGTTTTTAAGTAGATATAAGGTCCCCTCTACCCAAATCTCTAGGTCTCTAGAATGACAGATAATTAAGAAAATATAATCAGATGAATTAATAAAAGAGCTTGTTTCTCTTACCCCCGGCCATACATGCTGGATCTCAGTGCGGACCACCGTATCCACAGGGTCCTGGTTCCCATACCAGAACTGACGGCTCCGATAGATCACTCCACAGTTGGGACATTCAATAACGTACCTAAACATAGAGTAGAAACATGAATGTACAAATCTTTGTGACAATATTAATAGAAAATGTCTGAGGGATTACTTGGACCATGTAAAATAATGTGAAAGGTAAATCTGCAATTATTAGTCATTTAATACATTTGCTGATTGACTAACTTGTTAAGGTAATTTCTCATGCCAATACTGAAATGTCCTGCTTTTCTCTGTTTCACATCATAATAAACTGCCTATCTTTAAGATTTGGACAAACAAAACAAGCCATTTAAAGACATTACCTTGGACTTCGGGGAACTAGGATCAATATCTCACTATCTTTGGACATTTAATAGAACAAACAACTTGTCAATTAATCTAGAAATTAATAAATAGATTAATCGATAATGAAAGTAATTATTAGCTGCAGTCCTAGATAATACCAAAATGAGATAGTAGGTGCGAGTATGAGACACCAGTGCTCAGTAAACAGTAATAAGACCTGACCCTTGCCTGTGACACATGATCCTGCTGTTCATTCAGCTAATACTCACCCAGACCAGGCGTATTTGGCGAGGCCCAACCATGGAGAGTCTGAGGAAGCGGAGGTTTTAGGGATAACAATCACCTCCTTTCCTCCTTCATAGCAAGCCTAAATAGATGCACCACAACATGTATTTATACTCATCAGTCATGGAACAAGAGAAACACACTGTCATTTGTATAGAGAGAAGGATTAATACTAAGTGATGAGCGACTGTGCGTACCTTGCAGGTGTAAATGCGATTATCATACTGAAGAGTATAACGACAGCGATGCTTCGCCTCATGGCACACTCCTTCTCCCAAGTGGTTCATGCTGTTCTTGCAGCCAGATCTGGGATAAAAATGAAATGTCAAAAATGTTTACAAATCTGGAAACCAAGCGATTGAAGGTAAGATTATAAATGTGTTTCTTGTTAAGAGACGAAGGTACTGACCCACAGCTGAGGCACACGGTGGAGCAGGTGAAGTACTCATCGGGAAAGAAGCAGCTGTGGGCTACAAGCTCACCTGTAATTTCCCCATTAAAGCGCTCACTTAATGCCTGCGGGAAAATCAAGGACAACGGATCTTAGCTCGACCAGACATGTTCAGTATTTTACAATCAGAACCTGAGACTTATGAGCTTTAGCTGCTCTGATTCAAAACTATTTTGTATCGGATTCAGGAACCAGTTTATCAGTAAATGTTGTTTATATTCTGTTCAGTGCTGGCTTCACAACACCAACCAGCCAGTCTGAAGCAGGCAGGAAGCTGACTGCTATCCAAACTGTATACAGCCCTACCTGCAGGGCTTTGAAGATCACCACGGGGGTGCGTGGGGAGCGGGTGGCGTTGTTGTCAAGGAGCTGCTCCAATTTATTCTGCAGGCCGCGGAAATCAGTCGGCGGGGTGAGAGTCTGCGTGCCCCAGTACTGCACAGAGCTGAAGGCCTCTGGGAAACGGGAAAGCTTCTTGAAGCGCTCAGACAGCAGACGATCTACTGACTCCAATGACTTATCTAAAAACAAGACAGAGTGTAATCAGAATGATGTGTTGAAAATCCCTCAGCATTTGCATCAGATATAACAACAACTCATCATCTCTTGATCTCAAAATGATGCATTTCTCTGTCCTTATTCTGGTAAAAGAGAGAATAATACTGTTAAAACATTGTTACTATATCTAATAACAAACATGAAGCTCACACAAAAACATTACATGTGTTGTCCCAAGTCTGTAAGGCTTATCAGTGTTCCTTCATGTTAAATAAATATTTACTACAAAACACGTGCACTTGAAATTCTATAGCCAAGAAATGCTAATCGTGTTTTTTCTCCTTCATAAACAGTGACTAGATTTATTGAATTTCACACATTAGAAACAGGTTTTCAGGAATGTATGAGTTGCAGCTGGACTTTAGCATTAAAAAAACCTGACATTTTCTTTGAAGTGACTACTACTGTCACTTTTGACCTAACTTGACTGAGTGCAGTTTTCTTTTGATTCCAAAAAGTATGCTTTCCACATTTGAAGACAAGTTGGAATGCAGATTGATACATCCAGTGGTGTTGGGGTAGGCTGTAGGCAAACATGTGCTTACCTATAATGATCTGCTCTTAGTTTACTTTAAAAGGCACACCCTCTCGTCTCTTACTGTGATGCAGACCTACATTCTTTGTAATAGAGTCACTATGTATTGTTTAATGGAACCATTTGGAACTCCATCCATTACTAGTTGGACCTTAGAGAAGCAGAAGTGTTTAGATTTTGTACCTGAGCCAAGCAGCTTAGTGTGGACTGTCTCATGGAAGATGACCACTGCAGGGCCCAAGGTGGACAGAGGGACATCCAGGCCACAGCGGGCTGTTGTGGCCTTCAGTTCCTTGGTGAAATGCTTCAGGTAAGCATCCGAGGCATCGCCGAGAAACTTGAACAGGTCATCATGGAGGCGGTCGGCATGGGTGCGGTAGATGATGAGGTCGGAGATGGCGAGCACCTTGAGCAAGAGTCGGGTTCTCTGGCCCTGTTTGGAGCTGTTCCCCAGCAGCCCCTCTGTGTCGATGACTACTACTTTACGGAAGGGGTCAAATGCCGCCCACACACCCACTGTGCAGGATTCTTGAGTGGGAGAAGTTTTAAACACTTCTCTGCCAGTGAAGAACGTGTGGTTCAGGGTGTGAGATTTGCCCTCTCCCGTGTTGCCAAAGATGGACACCACCTTGAGCAGCTGGTCAGGGTTACAGCTCAGGCTCTTCACAAATGAAGATTCATCTTTTAACTTTGGAGAAACAACAGTTAAGAAGTTACAAATATGTTTGTTAGTAAAGGTATTTGAATTAGGCTCCAATACAAGTGTGCACAACTCACCTGCATTTCCTCATTCTCATCTACCAAGAGGAAACTGAAAATCTTCTCCAGGAGTTTTGCTCTCTGAGATTTGGCCTCATCTTCTATTTGGACAGCGGGCGGGGCCGGTGTCTTGACAGGGATGACCTCCGCAGGTTTGGGTGGTGGAGGGTAAGATGTCAGCTGGTGTTTCTTCTTGTTGCCTCCACTGTGGGTGCGTTTCTGGCATTCTTGGCACAAGTTAACTTTGCAGTTCTGGCAGCGGACCACAGATCTATTGCATTTGCCATTGTCTCCATTGCCTCCTTTGCAGTTCTCACAGTAAGGGACATGCCCAGGTCCTATTTGAACACGCTCATGGTTCTTCAGGCGCTCCTGACTGTGGAGCTCGAGCTCACAACGGACACATTGCAAGCTTTTGCATTCATTACACTCAAATGCAGCCTCCTCAGAGCCACCACACACATAACTCTCTTGACATATTAGGCTAGTATTAACTCCCTTTTCTGAAGATGAGCCATGCCCGCTCATCGTTTCTTATAAGCTAAACTTGAATTCAGAACAGTGCTTATTGGAATAGCTTTGACAATCAGATATTTCCAATAGCAGTAATTGAAAAATGTAAGTGACAACTTAAATTACCAAAAACAATGAAAACATCTATTTAAAACAGCTGCATGGGAACAGGGCTGGTGATTCCCTGACTGTAACAACTTACTTTCACACAATAATACAATAAATCAAACTTGTTTTGGCAGCATGAATTTCAAACACTTGTTTAAATAAATAACTAACAGTGAGGCAATGGACCAGAAGCAGCCGTGTCCTTTAGTTACACTTGATATGGTTTCACCACTAATAGTTAGCTTGTTCATGAACCAAAGTTAGCATTTAGCTGCAGCATAACAGAAGTCAAAATAAAGGTTGGCGAAAAAATAATACAAAAACATGTAGGCCTTACAGGTAGCTAGTAGCGACCGAGACAATGAGCTCTCCCTGAAAGGATGAATGTGCAAATGTTGATGCTAACAACAGGCTAGCTGGAAACTGACCCTCAGTAGCTCGCTGGCAAACTCGGTAGATAATTTGGCACCAAAGCAGCAAAAACGTCAGCGTTGCTTAGCATTCAGCTAGTTGGTTTCGACGGATAGTTGTAACTTTTTCCAGAGAAAATATGTAATTAAAGGCCAGCTAGTCCCAGCAGTTATAGCCGTGCAAACAAGCAGCTAGCCTCCAGTCTGTCAACAGAGCTGTAACAACATATCAACAAAAACAACTACCAGTCGATGTCAAAAGCTCGGATATCAGCGGACTGTTTTACTTTCAGCCGGGAGGGAAATCCGCGCTATTCCGTTTTAAAGTCTTAAAAAGTGTTACTGTATTTGGATCCTTCCGAGCAGTGTCATTGTTTTGTTCTTCAGCCCCCTCCCTGGCAGATTTCTCTAGCTACGTTATTTTGTTGCCCGGTCAGATCAGCTGATCAGATTATTTTCAGTCACAGGGTCAGTGTAGGGAAACGCTCTGTTGCACGATGGGAAACGTAGTTCTTACAGACAGACCCAGCTGAGACGACTGTTTGTGTACATTTGGTGTAAGTAACTAAGTAGATATACACTCAAGTAAGTAGTACTGTACAATTTTGAGAGACTTGATTATTTAAATGATTTTGCTTTGTACTTCTACCCTTCTACGTTAATGTTGTTTTAGTTACTGTACAGATTTTAACTAATGATGTGAAATATAATCAACACTTAAATAAGACTTTAGTTACACCAGAGGTAAATTCACAAGCTTCTCTGCAGCATACAAGGCAATTAAAATGAACTGCACCTAATAACACTCTAATGCACAATAATCTAAACAGAAACATGTAATATGAAAATATGAACATTTGAAATATGCACAATTAGTACATTTACTATTGGTTCTATATTCTGATGCTACTTTTACTTATGTAAGATTTTGATTGCAGGACTTTTACATATAACTGATTATTCCTACACTGGTACTTCTTCTTTAACTTAGGTCTAAGATCTGAGTACTTCTTCCACATTTTCCAAAAGGGATTTATGTGCTCCAGAAATCCAACTTGTTTGCTACTCAACTCAAATAACTGATCTTCAAAATGATGACTGCTATTAAACCTGATTATAAAATGTTTTGTGTAGGTCTGCAGGGTTTAGCTGTCTGTGTGCTTACACCCAGTCTTAGCGTTAGGCACTCCAACCTCTTGGACGTATATGGATTGCATAATATTGATTCTACCTAGTAAAATACCACCACAAATATTGCAAGATGGAAACAAGAAGCACAACCATATTTAAGATAATGCATGCAGGGAATATGTTATTTTTTTCTTTTGTGTTGATGAATGCAAACAAAATGTAAAATAATCATTGGAATAATAAATTGTTGCATTACAGTTGGAGGAATTGTATCCTTATAATCATAATCCTTTATTTGCAAACCTTAATTACTGCAATAAAATAAAACAAATCTGATGACAAAAACATTCCATGTGGAAGGCAGCTTCAAAGTAATTGTGTGGCAATTGTAAGCAAGTCTCAGCACAAGCTTTTTAGACAGAGGATGGATTTAAATGGCCTTTGTCTCGTAAAGTATAGCTCTTCAAAGCAGCAGGTGACCATTTGTCTTAAATGACACTTTGTGTTTTCCCTCCATTTCTTCCCTGATAGTAGCTTCTACTGCAGGATCTTCATACTTAAAAAATACAGAAACTGGCAATAAAAGATGTGTTACACCTTAGTGCTTTTATTACAAACAGTTGACACAGCACACAGAAATATGAACAACAAATAAATCATCAAACAAACAAAAGGGAAGACAGAAAAAGAGCAGAATATACAGCGTTCATTGTGCAGTACATTTTTTATAGGATTATCACATTTAATTCCATGTGTTTTAGTGCACAAATCACATCCTGTAGAGAAATATTCAGATAGAAATGCATGAATTGTCATAAGAGTCCCCAAACAGACCGTGTCCACCAAGCAGAGCACATTAAATCCGCTCTTTGATTCCACATCAGATGAATCTGAAGATTTTCCTCCATCGACCATCACAAAAAGTCTTTAAACGTTTAAGCAGGCTGTGCTTTTTAGATGTGTTGCCAGTGTGCTTGTGCTTGATGGCAGCAGATACAGCATGGTCAAACACATCTTTGAGGTTATGTTGTGTCAGGGCTGAACACTCCAGATAGTCATGAGCTCTGATCCTGTGTGCCAGCCTTCTTGCCCGGCTAATGAGCACTGGGCTGTTGCCTCGCTGGTCCAGGTGAACCAGGACGTCCACATTGGTGCAAAGGTCTGACTGAGTTCCAACCAGGACGATGGGAGAGGTCGGGTTTCCGGCTCGTATCTGAGGGATCCATTTGGAGGTGATGTTTTCAAAGGAGACAGGGTTGACCAGGCTGAAGCAGAGGATGAAGACGTCCACATGGGCATAGCACAGAGAGCGGAGATGGCCAAACTCCTCCTGTGTCAGATCAAATAATAACACATTAGGAGGAAAAGGACTAACTCTGGCAAATAAATCACAGTCACAAGTGGTGTGGAACATTTACCTGTCCAGCTGTATCTATCAGTTTGATGCGAGTTGGAATCCCATTTACATGAACCAAACCTGGAAGTAGAAATCAGTGTTATGCTGACTCAAACAACCATTAACATTCAAAGAAATGCCTTTACTCACCAGTGAAAACATCAAAAGCTGTTTGGCGGTAATCGCTGTTGTATCCATTGAAGATGTAACTGATAACCATGCTTGTCTTCCCCACAGCTCCATCACCAACCAGCATGCAGCTCAGCTCATCCCTCAATCTGATGGGTTTATCATGTCTCTGACAAGCCATTTTTCTTTGCAGTATCAGCTTACTCCATTATCCAAGCAGTTAGAAAGTCCAGAGAGTAACAGTAAGAGTGAAGCATTACTGTAAAAGACGTCTTCTCCCCCAGGGGCCCGTTGGTGACAATAAAGGAGAGGGGACACCTCGATTTGAAAGAACAAAAGGCGCCCAATCAGATGAGATGTTCCCCAGCACTTTGTCCGTTTCCGTTTGATGGTGATTAACATAGACACTCCCACCTAAACGGGCCGGATCATGCTAAAAGTTAGCTGATTTGACCTTGAATGCCTACTGTAATGAAAGTACAGCAACTGATAATGACAATTTATGTTGGTAGTGCTATCTATAATATATGGACTATACTCCGTAGATAACTCTTGGGGCAGGAGAGTAACATATTATAAAGCAAACATAGCCTAACTTTAAAAGTGTATCTTGTGTGATATATGTTTGTGATGAGTACTTTCTAGTTGAAAGGCTTGGAAAAAGTAGGCTAAATGTTTTTAAAAGTAGTGCTATATATTAGCGTTTGCGTATCGCAGTGTCTGTCGTTCAGTAATGTACAAAATTGACCACAGACTGTGCTCAATATTTAACTACAATACCATTATTTATCCATAGAGGGCGGTGTTGCTCCAGTATTGGCTTTGGTATGATGGCGTCCAATTTACTCTAAAGTAAGTAAGTTAGATGCTGCTTTCAGTTTCCTTTGAACAGACGACTGTATTCACAATTAGTTTCACATATAAGTAGTTTTATGTATAACATATCTCGTCTTCAAGAGAGATAGCAATGCCATGTTTCGCCAAATAACTGTTTTTATTTCATAATTAATGTAATTATTTTGTCAGTTCAGCTTTTCATCACATCACACTCACACTACCACATCACACATCCTACTTCATTTTGTCTTGGTTGCCACTTTGTCATATTGTTCATGTGTTTTCGACCTATAAATCCATTTTCTGAAGGCAGCTTTATTCTCCTATGACAAAGGGGCAAAGGGCACAGCTGAGGGTGCATTGTTAGACTGTCACCAGCTGCAGTTTATAGCAGAAACTTCATGTGCCATGTTTCATCCTGCCTCTTTCAGGGTGATTGGGTTCATAAATACACAAAATGACATAGCAAAATGATGATATGACTATGACTTATGATAGTTATACTATCTTAATGAAAATAATGTGCGGCATTGTAAAATGCACTGCTCTTGATGGTGGTACTAGTGTGTAAGTGTAGATTATTGTTCTGTCTTTGCAAGTCACACCAAAGTTATGAATGTCATATCTGAGCATTGACTCTGTTTGTCTTTGGCTCAACAAAGACTGCTTCATTGGCATCCAAAGGTAATATCACACTGAATCACGATGTGGATCATGGTGCAAGTCGATAGAATGTACTCAAAGTGTTGCATGTCTTGCATTGTTTGACATTATTATGTTGTTTCAAGTTGTACTGACATTATTTGCTTTGCACTGCTTATGGTGCATGGCTGAACAGTACTATGGAAATAAGAAATATGCTGGTGATGATGCTTTTGATCAAGCCTTCACATCATGATCACACAGCAATCCTCTGACCTTATGAGCTAGGCACTCATTGTCTGAATGGTAGTAAATAATTAGACGTTGTGTAAGTGTGTTGGGTTTTTATTTACCTCACTGCAGCTGTATACTTTTAGGCTGAGGCTACACATTTAAAACCCAAACTCAACATTATCACAGCTGTAGTGCAGAGGAATTGCAAGAGCATTCTAAGATGTGGTTTTGGAGACCGGGAAACGTTTGTGGGTGAAAATACAACTTAAAACAAAGTGTTGTTCCTTATCTGTCTGAGCCTGCAGGAAACTCTGTGTGCATTGTGTTGTAAGGTCTCAGCTTCCTGTTTGCCGTTGTTTCTCCCTCACTCGTTCCCTTCTCCCTTTCTCTCCCCCTTTTTCCCACCACCTGCGCTGTGAGTGATAGAGTTTATTCCCCATGGTAGGAGGACAACATCTGGTCACTCCCCGACACACGTCATGTCGCAATCTCGACTCCCATGCTGCACCTCTGGCAGCTGTGAGTCACAATCGTCCTGTTCCTTAATCCAAGGTAAATGTCTAACACAGGAAACAGTCTTTAAATATCTCCACATCTAAAGAGTCTATTTCCTGTAACAGCCACATTTATGATCACATATCAACCTGTAAGCTTCTCTTTAATGCTACGAATGCATAGATGTGCACTCACAGTATATGCACAGCGCTTTGCAAGGTTCACATTTATCTGACCTTGTGCAGCAGATGTCAGCACTGTGCTGATATTTTGTACTGTGAACATGTTGTTGGTTCTGAATTCTCACACTCTTGCCCTTTGCATGACTAGACATGCAGAAATGTATCCTGACATAGATTTATAGAGGTAATCCGCTTAGTAAGGGTCTCTCAACGTGTGCAGCTTAGGGATCACCCCAACATGAACACTTCAAAATGCATTCCACTCATTTTGACTGAATCATTTGATATTCATTATGATGAGCTGTCTCACTTAACTATTCTCTATAGACGGTAAACAGTGAGTGACTCATTTGTACTATCCCATCTCGAATCTGACAA